TAAAGAAAATAACAACAACAATGGCAATAGTAAGATTAATACTAATAATAATAATGATAATGATGATAGTGGTAATAATAATGATAATGATAACGATTTTTACATCATAATGATAGCTTTGCTTAAAAAGATTTTAATAATGATGATATTAACAATAATAATAACAATGACAATTGTGATAATAATGATAATATTTCTTATATAGCTGATTATAAAGATAGGAATGACAATAATGAGGGATATATACATCAATAATTAAAATGCTGACAATAATGGTTATAACGATAACGTTTAGAATTATGATAATAATCATAGTCATAAAGATAACAATCATAATGCTCATAATAAATATTATCATAGTATTAATAATGACACAAAGAATAATGATAAAATACGTGATCATAACGATAATAACGAAGCTGGCAACAACGTTGTCATTAATGATGTTCATGTTAAGTAAGATAAGAATTTCGACGATAATCAAAAGAGTATAATAATGATAATGGTAATGATGATGCTGATGGCGATAGGAATAATAACAATAGAAACAGTAATCATCGTAATAATGATGATAATACTGTCAAACATGATGATGATCATAATGATGATAGTAACAATAATGATAATGACGATGGTAAAATTTATAGCAATTAAGACGTTGATTATAAAACTAATGTTGATAATGAAGAAATAAATGTTAATGCCGATAATAGTGGTACTGATACTAATGAAAGTTATTATGATTATAATGACGATAATAATAATGACCATGAGGATGATGATTATAATGAACATTATGATAAGGATAATGTTAATAATAATAGTAATTATAATAAAGATAACGAAAATTGTATTACACAGAGCGATAGTAATAAAAGAAATAATGTGAATGACAATAATTATGGCAACAACGGTAATCATAACAATAATAATGATAACAACAAAAATAACATTTATGGTACTTATAACAAATACATTAATTANCGAAAATGGAAATCGATTTGGGATCGTAAAATTTCATGCTCCCACGCTTCCTACACCATCGTAGTCCTCGGGGGAAGATAATAGTAACGACTGCGATAAAAAATACAAATCACTGCCGTCGCACAGTATACGTACATTCCTCCCGATTGACATAAAAATAACGTTTTCTTCTTAACCAGTGACGAAAAAAAAAAAAAAAAAATAATAACTGTGATAGTAATAATAATAATAATAATCAGCCCAGGGCTAAGGTAGTCAGCCTATGAGGCGCGTGCTTTCCGGGTAGCAGATTGAGGCAAACTTTCCGTGGGTGTATGGCTCTGAGGCGCTGTGGCGGTCAGAGCGTGTACCCGTGGGTGGTTAGAACGGAATGAAATAGTTCCCGTGGACCAAAACGCTGAGAAGAAAACCTTGTAAAAAAGTTTAGGGTTGGTTCCCAAATGAAAACAAACACGGTTGACGCTAATGAAAACAATGTACCCCAGACAGTAATCTCTCAGAGGAAATCCGATGCCAGCTTTAACCTGGAAAAAGCCCAGGTGACTGGTGTTGGCCTCACGAATTCTGGGGAAGGCCACAAAAACGTCCAACATGAAAGTGCTATGCTTTCTCACATTTAAATGCAAATGACAACTGGAGGTTGGTTAAACGATCGTAATGACGAACAACAGAATACAGACCAGAATAGCCAGAATGAACATCAGCTGGCACTGGCTGAATCAACGGTAGTCGTTCATTGACAAAAAACCATGAGTGACACAGAAAAGGAGGAGAAAAAAGCACTAGATAGGACGACAGACGTCCTACAAAGTATTAACAAAGCAATTGACAGGCAGCCGAACGTCAGCAGCACAGTCAAGGAAGCCAGAGTTCACCTGGAAGAAATATGTGGGCTCTTGAAGGACCTTAAAGGCCACCACTGGAAGACTGTCGGGGAGATGTTAGTATTGAGGACATCTCTGCCAGCTTGTGTGATCAGACAGCATTCAAATAAGAGAGGTAAGGACGATGGCGCTACCGAGAATCAGAGCGAATCAAAAAAAAGGAAGAACGACGACGAAGACGAGCTGTGAAGGAACGTCGTGAGCAAACAAAAGCAGGCACTTGCAAACCGCAAGGAGCAAGTCACTGCTGGAAAGAAGCCAGTAGGTAGCACTTCAACTCCGAACAAAAGTGAGCCAGAAAGGAAATATAGGAGCAGAGAAAGGCAAAGGAAAGAAGCAAGGCCCTCGTTAAACCAGCAGAAAGAAAGTCATACGCGGAAGTACTAAGAGCATTCCGTGACGCGGTCGACCCGAGAGAATGTGGCGCGGAAGTTACCAGAATACGCAGCACAAAGGCTGGTTGTATTCCGTTGGAGCTCGCCAGAAGCACCAAAGACAAGGAGAAGTTGACGCGGGCCATCTCACTGACTATCGGTACCGCAGGACAGGAACAATCAAGCAAGCCTAGAGTTAGGTTGGAGGTACTGGACTTAGAGGCAGTCGCCGATAAAGATAAAGTTATAGCAGCCGTCCAGGAGGCTGCTAAGACCAGATCAGATCTCGGCGAAATTAAAGGGGCTGTGATACCACCAAATCAATGGCAGGAAAGAATGGCGTTGGCCAAAATGGACGAGACTGGTGCTTTGTCCCATTTGAGGAAGGGGACGATAACAGTTGAATGGATCCGATGCCGACTAAGGCGCAAGATTATCGTACAGCAATGATACAGGTGCCTAGAATGTAGGCACACAAGATATGACTATAGAGGCCTGGACCGATCAGGCATCTGCTGGAGATGCGGGAACGAAAAATACAGCGTCAAGGACTGCAAGGTCGAACCACGATGTGTTTTATGCGGTGAATCCACGCATAGACAAGAAAGCACGAATCATGTACCTGGATCTGAAGTATGCAGGGCCTTTAGACAGGTCCTGGACAGAAGAAAAAAAAACCCGACATAATGCCCAGAGTTCTCTAAGGAAATTTGAACGGGGCAATTGACGCAGAAGCCCTTCTGCTACAAATAGTATCTGAAAGAAGGGTATACGTAGCGCTCATGAGCAATCAGTACAGAAACTATAGGCTACATAAGTAACTCAGCAATGTAACAAATATGTTGGCCATTTCAGTTCCTAGACCAGACAAAATCCGCCAAGATGCAAGTAGATTGAAAAGACATTTTGTCTGGTTGAAAGGTGAAGGCATTGCGTATGTCAGCTGCTACTTTTCACCAAACACTAGTATCGAAAAATATAGAAAAGGGATAAATTACATCAAAGATACCATCAGGGATGGCATGGAAGGCGACCTTTTGGTCCACCAATGCAAGAGCAGTAGAATGGGGAATGCTTACAGCAAATTATAAGTGCCAGACAGGCCTAGATATGGTGGCAAGGCTAAGACTAGTCATTGTTAACGAAGGAAGGACCATGGCTTTCCGAAGGCCAGGACTTAGCGAATCAATACCACACATTGCACTGGCTTCAGAGGGCCTTGCCCCAAAAGTAAAGGAATGGCAGGTAATCAAATATGAAAATGGTGGCCATCACCAATATATCGTCTTCGAAATCACCGATACAATATGCAGAAGAGGTATAGCACGAAAAACAGGATAGAATGTTAAAAAGCTAGACACAGAACGACTAGTGGGAAAAGTTGAGGATGGCATTACTGCTATTTAAAGCGATAAACGAAGCCTTAACATAGTAGAAGGAGTACAGAAGCTCACCGAGGCAACCATGCAACTCCTAAAATCCATATATCAGGTCTCCATGCCCAGAAAAAAAAGATGGAATGGCAAACTCTCAACTTACTGGTGAAACAAGAAAATTGTGAAATTGAAGCGCCAATGTCTTAAATACAGACACCTCTATCAAAAGGCCAGATACAGACCAGAGGCCGGACAAAGGTATTCCGAGTACCAGCTTACAAAAAAGACGATGCGAACTGCTATTAAGAACACCAAAAAGCAGTGCTCACAGACTCTGTGCCGGAAAGTAAATAACGACCTCTGGGGCAGAGTATACCAGATAGTTATAGGAAAACCAGAAAGACTGGCACCAACTGCAAACAAATATATGGATACCATAAGGCATATCGTGGATATGCTATTTCAGACGCATCCAGAACTCGAGGATCAAGCAGACTTGGAGCTCATAGAAGATGTACCTTTATTTACCTAGAAAAAACTGGAGCTTGCAGCTGGATCGCTTAAGAACGTAAAAGCTTCTCGACGAGATGGTATACTGCCAGAAGTCATTAAGACAGTGGTGGCAAAACACCCACAGCTGCTCTCAAACTTATACAACGCATGTGTGCCAGAGGGGTTGTTTCCAACCCCCAGGAAAAACGCACGGTTGGTATTGATCAATAAAGGCAAGGGGCAACCTAACTCCCCGTCATCTTTCAGGCTGTTATGCATGCTGAAAACAGCTAAATAATTATACGAAAAGCTGCTAAAGGCCTGTCTTCTTCAGGCCACAAAAAATGCGGGAGACTTATCCGACAGACAGTCCGGAATCAAGAGAAGAAGGTCTACCATAGAAGCAGTAGAAGTAGTTGTAAAAGTAGTTCAAAGCATTCGAGATGTATGCCATGGAGGTAGACCCCTCGTTCGTCTAGTAACCTTAGATGTAAAAAACGCTCTTAACTCAGCAAGATGAGAGGACATGCTTCACGCTCTAAAATACACATTTAGAACACCAGACTGTTTCTTGAAAGCATTGAAAGATTATCTTAAGGACCGCTTTTTGACCTTTACGGCAACAGAAGGTTAAACAAAAACAAAAAATAACTGCAGGGGCATTCCAGGGATCCATTCTTGGACCTGATCTTTAGAACGTGTCATACGATGGACTACTCCGCCAGGAAATGTAAGCAAGGACGTACTTGGTAGGATATCTAGATGATGCTGCTGTAGTGATCGTCAAACGAACAATGAAACTTGTCTAGATACGACTTATACAGGTTATGTAGAGAGTGGCTCCATGGATGGAGAACCACGGACTTGAAGTAGCAGCAGGGAAGACAGAGATGGTACTACTATCGAGAAAAGAGATAGATACCATCATCCCCCTCGATATACAAGAAGGAGAAGTAATGACAAAGAATTTTGTAAAATACATAGGGGTAACGCTGGACAGAAAGCTCACGTTTTGGAGCCAACTAAGGCAAGCAGAAGATGAAGCGGCAGCAAGAGTAGCAGCATTAAATCAAATCATGCCGAACGTTAGAGGTCCAAAGCCTGCAAAACACAGGCTCCTTATGTATATGGCCCAGTCTATTATTTTGTACGAGGCTGAGATATGGGAAGATGAGATGAACGTTGTAAATAAAAGGGTGAAAATCGGCCAAGTTTAAATGATAAGAGCCTTGAGAATAGCCTGCGCCTATCGCACAGTCTCAGAGACAACGATAATAGTGATAGGGGGCGTAATCCCCATCGACCTCCTTGCAAACGAAAGAAGCAAAAATCAGCACCTTACAGAGCAGGATCTAGGGAGAATGGAGGCCAAGAAAAACGCCCAGAAAATTACCTGGAAACGCTGGAAACATAGATGGCAAGAGGAAACTAGAGGTAGATGAACAGCACGCCTGATAAAAGATATTAGGGAATTGACTGAGCGAAAACATGGGAAAGTAGATTACTATCTTACCCTTACATCACAGGTATTTCCATTCGTACCTCAGAAAAATGCAAAAAACACAGACGGCTGCTTACAAGTACTGCAGCTACTACGAAGATGACGCAGAACGTTCGTTCTTCGACTGCATCAAGTGGCAAGCCGAATAAAACGTGCTGCAAGAGAGGATCAAAACTTTAAATCCCAACAACGTCATGGATAAAATGCTACTTGAAAAAGAAAGATGGACTGCAGTAGCCCAAAACATACGTACAGTTCTCTAGACAAGAAAGAGGGACGGTTTTCTGGATGACTGAGTGGAGATGGTGCGCACGTGGATCCAGTGCCATCGTGAGGGCATCAAGTAGTGTTTTTGCTGCGATGCTCGAGCTATTCGGGTGAGTAGTGGTGGCAATTTGGGGGTTGGGCTGCTGGAGCGTGGCTGCGAGGTGGTCAGTGTGTGGGATGGGGGGCTGCGTTGGTGATTAAGTGCATGCTGACTTCCTTCAATCACTTAGCTCTATTACCGTTCTGCCGATAAGGCTGCAGCTTGCTGGCCCATACTCTTTAGTGCTGTGCTTTGGCTGCTCAACTTTTTTTTCTTTTTTTTTTTTTCGGGGATAGGCCTCCAGGGTATGGCTGCGATTTGGTTAGTGTATAGAACGAGGGTTTGCGTGAGTGCTTTAATTTAGTCTGGCTGCGGTGAGTTTGCTCCTTGCGCCTTTGTTGGGGCCGGCTGAGTTTGGGCTCGCGCTGGGGAGCGTCTGCTCATTATTTTGCTCCTTCCCTCCAACTGAACAGAAAAGAGCCGCTCGGATGCATGACAGGAACTAGAAAATACCATAGACGACGCAAAAGTTAAAAAACACGTTAGTAACGAATCACTGAAGGAAGACAGTATGAAGGGCTGAGCTCCCGTGGCCATGACTTAAAGTGTAAATGTGAGACCAGACTCCAAACCGGTTGTCCTAGGAGAAAGGTCTTGCCAGTTTAGTGAATATGGTTATAACGAGTCTCACACCGGGGAAGGTTCGTTCACCCTTTTATCGTGCATAGAGGCATCCTGGACAACCTCGAAAAAGAAAAAAAATAAATAATAATGGTAATAATAGTTATAACAATTATTCATATTATAATAATAATGATAATAGTGTTAATAATGCTTATAATAGTAATGACAATAATTATAAGGATGGTAATGATAATAACAACATTTATAATATTGTTTATAACACTTGTAACAATGATTATGTTAACT